GAGTGCAGAAATGTAAATCACAAATAAGGACAATGATTTAAAATGTCCCAGCTGACCAAAATAAATAAAATAAACTTTATATATCAAGATGATCCTTAATAAATCTAATTTCTTCCAAATACACAGGACATTCCTTAGAAAGAGCATCATGTTCCTCATTATATTTAGTACTGAAACGTGGATTGTATTCTTTGCAATTAGTACAGTGAAGGAAATCAGAAGAACACTTAGAATGCAGGTGATTCTCCACACACACTCCACAAATGGTTGTGTTTTCACAAAATTTTCTAGTATGTCTGAAGGCCAAGCAGTTGGTGCATCGTTTAGGATGAATAAATAATTTTACAGAATAAGATTTCCAAACGATTGTTATTCTCTGATCCTCCAAAATAAAATTTTGACACTCTGGTGAAACATGAAAAACTATGCGATATTTCCTGTTCTGAGGCTTTCATTTTAAACAATGGGCGAACACAGCTAGCACCACATGAACATTCGATTTTTAATGCTTCTATACGCACTTCATCGGAAAGAAAATTAGAAACATTGTAAATAATAACCTTAAGTCATATAAATTTTTTACATTTTGGTGTTACGAGTTGAATAAGTTTTTCGTTATCAATAACCGCTTTTTCCAATTTTCTACATTCTTCTCTGCTCTTTAGTCTAACTACCATATCCCCATTTTCCTCCAAAAAGAACCTACAACACCGATTCCAATTTTTTTTTATCAATATTATTTTTTATTTCATCATATATATCGATATCTTCCTTGAGGGGCTTTAAGATGATTTCTTTATTTCTCCAGGAATCGGTATCTTCATTCTTGTTATAATTGTATGTTTCACTTGATTTTTCTTCACCTCTTCCTTTATACATTGTCAGTTTCTCGTGATCTAATAAATCACAAATCTCACAAACTTCTTTGGCAATAAAATCCAGTTTGTTTTCCTTACATAGATCCCTTTGCATTTCAACATGTTCCAAATTCTTTAGTGTAATCCATTCTGTAATCTTGTTAATACCAGAAATCAAAGTTTCAATTAAACCTGTATAAACATGTTTTTCTTTCAAAGTTTCCACTACTTTGTTACTATCACATATAGTATTAAAGATATCATCTTTTGTACAGCAAATTCTCTCTCACACTCAGTAGTAGTTTTCTTAGATTCAGACATCTTATCAGGTCAGTAATGGAACAAAAACAACAATTCAATACATTGTTTTTGTTCCACTTTGTTACAATTCAACCCAAAATTTAGTACTAAAATTTTTATAAATTCAGTAAATATTAAATAAAATCCCTAAACTAAAAGCATATATGCACTAATATAGTCACGGAGCAATTAAAATTTGAAAATATGTAGAAATATGGTCTTACATAAAAGCACAATAAAACTCGAGAGGCAAAAAGTTTTCATATAGCTGGAAGACAACTTTCAAATGTTAGCAAACCGTCTCCTTGCAAAGTTTATCTTAGTTCACAGTTTCAGATATTGAAAAAAAAAAAAAAAAAAAAAAAAAACATGAAAACGGTGTTAAAATCCATGCAAATCAATTTGTAGGTAAATAAAACTATGTAGAATCATAAAAGTACTTCGAAAGTTATTTAAATTCAAAAGAACGTCGAAAGCATTCTGTCGCCGCCACGTCAAGGCCAGCTACACTTAAAAGTAAGATTGTTTATAAAATGCAAAATAATGCATATAAGAACACAGAAAATAGATAAACATGCGTCGAAACATCTACAATTTAAGAAAATATAATTCAAAACACTCTATAAAAGGATTCCACAACTAAAAAAGGTAACCAAAAATATAAAAATAGGTAACTGAATAATTTAAGAGACCTTAATTTTGTTCTGATTTTAACATTTTATTATGTTGCTAGCTATTACAGTGTCTATAAAAAGCAGCAAATACATAAATGGGCGCTGGTAATTAAGAGGCCCACCAGTGGCCGATTGGTAAAGTCACCGAACACTGGTAGTTTAGTCCGAGGTTTGAATCCTTTGAACAGGCTGGCTGCATGGGCATTTTCGTAGTTTTCCCCATGTGTAACGTGTATACAAACTGGTTTCCGTTAGATTACATAAAGCCTCCAGGGTTGAATGCCTAAGAGAAGGGATGCCCCACGAAGGCATCCCTCCTCTTAGGCATTTAATCCTGGAGGCTTTATGTAATCATATAAACCAACCCAAACTACTGGTAATTAAGGTAAAAGCAGTTTTGATTTTAATTCACCTTCACTTCCTTTCGCCATTAAATTGGCCAGCTTTTGGTTTAGTTTGAAGGTATGAGAAAAGAAGAAATGTTCGTAAAAAGTATTTATTGAGAGCATGGGTATGCAAATAAGTGCTTTTACTTTCAGATGATTCCATATACATTTAATGATGAAATTTAATCATTATTAAAGCACAAGCAATAAATTAACAGAAAATTTTGAAATAAAAACATAGCAAAATGTCATTTAAAGCCTGAAGAAATTGCTTTGAATGTTCATAGTAAATTAGCTAGAGGGGAAAACTATAAAAATTTAATTTAGTTTACATTTATGAAGCGCGTCTATACTATATTACAGAGAATGGGGAAATCAAGTAGATTTCTAAGAAAGCAAAATTATAGCAGGATTTTTTTAAATATAAAAATTAAAATTCTTTTTAAAAAATAAGCACAGATTTTTAAATTTATTTCCCTACAAGATATTTCGATATATTTTTACTCATTGTACATCTAGAAGAATGGCAAATTCAGCGACTTGTACCTCACACAGCAAAATCGAAGACCCTTTCTTGACTGCAAAAGCTTTATCTACGCCAGCGAATTTTCATTTTCGGAAATTAGATGTTGGGGTCAACGAGCCTTTTACTTGAAATTAGAACAAAATATAAATATTGCCAAATCGTCTTGAAATGCGCCAAGGTGGCAAACTGAGAAGTAAATTTTCAAGACGCTCCTGCAAAAAATGGGTCAGGGCTTGTTTCTACGGCAACAGACAGCTGCAGACAAACTGGCGAGAGCTGTTCTTACCATACATAGACTATACGCCTGCCACCGTATGGCATTTTTCCCCATGCACCTGCCAATTGTTATTTTTTTGTTTATTTTAATCTAGTTTTGCACACTTTTGATATGTGTTGGTAGAAATGGGAGCTTGAATATAGTTATGTCAGGTTCTAAAATTTCTGTAGAAATTTAAAATTTCAGAAATAAAATTTGTGTTTTTAGGCTCTTTGGTGATGGCACCCAGTTGTTCATACTTATGTAAAATATGTATAAAAACCGTATGGAAGTGATTTAAATTCAGTGTTATTATTTTATCAAAAATGTTAGCAGCTTTAACTGAACTAGTATAATGCTACAAGGAAATGTGACTCAGCTGAAAAAGATAATGTTAAAAAATGAAACATTAAAACCCAGCTGAGAAATTAAAGTTACATTTTTGAAATTATTATATTTTTTATGCTTTAGATAATATATAAAGAGAACAAGCTTCCTGGGCTGATACCAAGAACACTCCTACTGCCATATACTTTTGATTATTGGGCATCCCATAAGGACCCCTTTTTAATTTTTTTTTAAATATTTGTTGTAATATATCATTTTGTTCAGGAAGAAAAGCCATTAAACAATTTTATTATTTAATAAACATCAAAGCTGTTATTTCGATTTTCAGCCCTTTGGGACCCCCTTTTTAATTTTTCAATAAATAAAGTAGTAATATGTTATTTTGCTGAAGAAGAACACCTCTTTAATAGAGGTTAAGTACAAATACACCTCAAAGCCCCCCCTCTTTTTTTTGATTATCAGGCCCATGGACCCCATGGAACCAGTGGATATTTTCCGTCCAAAGATAAAGGTTTTGTATCTAAAGCTGGCCTTAGAAATATTTTCCCCCCTTTCACCAACTGTGAGGACTTTTTCAAAAACCACTTACTTTTATCCTTGCCCAGGAGAAAAATTTCTCTTTTGTTCCCTAGTCTGTCACCTGAAATTAACAAAGACGATCTCCTAAAGCATAAAAGCATGCTTTCAAATCAGCAGATTTTTCATTCTATTACCAGGTAAAAACTTAAAGTGCATCATATCACATCACATATACGGTATCATAAACAGATTTATGTTGTATGTTGGAGCATTTTTGTTCACTTATTACAGCTCCAAAGATAATAAATTATAATTTTTAAAGTAGAATTTTAAATATTATTTGGTTATCAAGAATGACAATGTAATTATATATTTCTTCAATATATTTATTAATTTTGAAATTAATGTTGAGAATGCAGTATCACTCATGACAAGTTCTGCTGAGACATGTTTCTATTTAAAATAAAAAAAAGTAATAAAATACAACTGTTTTTGTGACAGTGCTTAACAAAATTGAAGGTTTGATACTATGTTGCTTTAAAAATAAAATATTGCCATCTAATGCATAATCTATATATGATAGAAGTTTGGCATGCTATTTTATTAAATCTTTTTGCCAAAACAAGAAATAACGTGTTGCAAATTTATAACCTGAGCAAGTGGTGTCACAGTAGTGAAATTAAAATACCAAATAGTGCTTAAGAGCTTGGTGAAATTGTAGGGCTGTAGCGTGAAATAAAATATAAGCTAAACTAATGGAACTTAATTTTGAATTCTAAAAATATTAATATAAAACTTTTTCATATTTCTTCTTTCTTTTAGTGAGTATTAAAATGTACTCATTATGATTATGTTTTCTTTTTGTGAAAAAGATTATTTGATCTTAAATTCTTTTTACTTAATTTTCCTTTCCGAAAAGTTTTTTAATAGTGTAGCTTGCAGTAATCTTCTTTTGTATAATTTTTTAAATGTACTGCTTTGTTTTGGAAAATATGTTGCTCTAATACTAATTGTTCATGATTTTAAAGGGTATCTGAGTAAAAGGAACAGTTTTGCCTAAGTGGTGTAAATATTATGTATCAGTGCAGTGCAAGTATTATGAATGCCATATTATTATTTTTTTTCTTTTTAAAGATTCTTTTGGTATTTTCTCGTGATACATCTGTTATATCCCATTTTGAAAGAAGCACTGGTAATCCCCCTTCAGCTGTTCTACGTGGCACACATACTACTGTTACTTATCCTCCTAATGGTGTAATTCCTTTTCATGGATTTTCAATGTATGGTAAGCTTCATTAAGAATTTTTTTCTAAGATTTTCCCAGTAAAATTCTTGGTTTGTGCTATCTGCCCAGCACTCCTGCAAAGTTGCCAATCATTGGCAACTACTTTTTCAGAATTTAACATGAAAAAAACGGCAGCCATTTTCAAAAAACGGTGGTGCGTTGAAAAATTGCATAAAATAGCACTGAATTGGCAAAATTAAAAATGCTAGAAGCATCCATCATGAAGTACAGTCAAAAGTCCTTAATTCGGACACCCATAATTCGGAATGATCTATAATCCGGACCTCAAAACTAAAAACTTTCTGCGCATGCGCCGCGTTGACACATGCGCATAGGCGTTATGCGTGCGCGTAAGATCTTTTACAACTGCGCATATGAGTGTGTGCAAGTGCAGAATACGTTTTCGCGTGCGCGTTTTATGTATAATGGACGTATAAGCTAAAATTATCTAATTATCTATTTCAGTTAATGTTTACGATTGCATCGTTCCTTAATTTTCGAATTGGATCCGGCTTATTTTTTGCAGACTGTAAGAGCAATTTTATAAAAGTAAGCTTAAACTTTCGATTATATCAAATAGAATTTCCGATATATATTTGTTAATATGTAAAGGATCTAAAGCGAAAGTATGTTTCGAAATCCGAAATCTGTTTATCAATTTCATGCTGCTCGGCAGGGGGAACGCCGCGGCGGGCGCGTAATGAATTGGAAGTTGATCTGTCAGCACTACCCTTATCTTCAGCACAGATGTTTTTATTTTATTTGGCTTATAATTCCTTACCAAATGTAGTATTTCATCTCGATATGCTCCGTCTTTGATATGATTTAAAACAAGTTCCTCGTCATTATAATTCGCTTCCGGTAGCAAAGAAAAGTGACAGAGGTTATTGAAAACGAAAAAATTTCGATTGACAAATTAGTCGGTGTCGACAGTGAACTTCAGGACTGAAACAGCAATTATAGGAAACAGGGAACTTTGTAACTGAACAAGAAATTATGTCTGTTTAATAGAATTAAAGAGAAAGTATTATCACATGAAACGAAGCAAAACTTAAACAACTTACATTGAAAGAAATGTTTAATAAAGTAAACAAATAAATATTAAGCTTTTTCTTTTTGCAAATTTTGATACCCTTTAGATCATAATTGTTCTTTATTTCATAAATTACGGTTACATATTTTTAATTTTAGAAAAATGTGCCATCTTACGAAATCTGCATGCCATCTTACGAGATTTAAACTGATGATCTATAATCTGGAAAAGTCGATAATCCGGAATCGCCGAAGTCCCGGCGAGTCCAGATTAACGACTTTTGACTGTAGTAAAAATTACATGAAACAAAATTCATTACAAAGCATTCAAAATTTTATAAAATGGTAACTATTTAACTAAATTAAAATGAAGCAAACATCCACAATGAAACAACTTTTTGTTTTCTTTGTCTGTGTGCTAAACAACCTGTTTTAACTTTAAAGAAAAAAGTCAGAAAATTGCAGAATTCCTAGCATTACAGAACAAATGGGCACGACTCTCCATGTGTTCAACCTGTTTTAACATCATCAGTGTTCTGATGTTAAAAAAAAAGAGAGAGAGAGAGAAAGAATTGTTTCTATTAAAAAATTAAAAAAAAATTTTTTTGACTGTCTTCTTTTTCCATACCAGGCACATATACTTCTCACAGATAATTGCATCAATTAGTAGTTCTATTTGGAGATGTGTCAAGACAATAAAAACCATAAGAATAACAAATCTTTCCAGATGTATATGACCAGCAGTAAATAAAGCAAATAGCTGTCATAAACATTATTCGGCTATTCTCAAACTAACTTCCTGTTTGCATTTGAACACTTTGCTGGCAATCTTTAACAGTACATTTTCATGCAATTCAATTGTTTGCTTCATGGGAATTCCAAAATGGCATCCATTATGCACTGGCATAATGCACGCTGTAGTAACTATTTTCTTTACCGTTCATTGGATCACTGCATTACCATTCTTTGAGCATAAAATCCAGAGATAAGTGATGATTCTACTTCGTTATAAACACACATAAATTTATTTACACATAATACAATATTTACAAACATTATTATTATGCACACGTCTTCATTACTATTAGCTTAACACCTTCAATCTTCCATGAAACTAAAGTTATAAACTAACATCAGAGACAGAATGCCTGGAGCGCCATCAACGGGAGCTATCAATTCAAAAAATCCTGCCTCCCATGAACTGCAAGTTCATCAGTTAAATCTAACTAATTAATACCATACAGTACCTACATGTCAATAACAATACAATTAATATCAAAACAACATAATGAAAATGCTACATTGATACTACAATAATAGCTAACAAAACAATAACTAATAATACTAATAAGAAGAATATATAGAATTCTAAATATAATGTTAAAGTTAAAATTGTCTTATTTTATCCATAGACCTGTTATATACTATACAGAGAATCGCCGGCTAAAGTACAGAATTGCCAATAATTTGATTGGCGTTTGTTTGGCGCTTTTTACAAGAGTAAGAAGAATTGGACTTTTGTCAGTTTTCTTTGACTTCACCTTTGACCGCATCACCAATCAAAACCGGGTGAAAAAGCAGAACAGGAATGAGCTGCAGGAGTTTGGGTATGACATGGAACTGAACCCAGACTCTGGCGTATTATCGCTACGGCTGGTGATTTTTCCCCTTCTTTTCTCTCAGTTCAAAATGCGAACTTAGAAAGATGTCATTTCGCAGAAGCTGCTGTTGAATTTGCAGGAAAGGTTAGATCGATAAACACCAGCCGAAATTAAAACTTTCCTTAAAATTGGACACTTTATTTTAAAATTTAACAAGATAATTTTCATGCTGTAGAATAACATTTTGTAATATAATGCCCATCGGCGTCTACAAAATTAAAAATAAAATAAAAAAACTGGAGAGAACAAACTAAATTTATAATAATCTGTAATAATCTGAAACTAAAAATACAAAAAATTTCAATGATAGATTCAAATGCAGAACGATTCTTGACGAATTTAGTAACGTAAAATATAAATTTTATACAAGAAAAACTTTGTATTATAATTAAATCCAAGTTAACTATAAGTTTAAGGAATTTCAATCACAATGCATATATTATATTGAATATAACTAAAAAAAACTTGCACTTCCCAAATAAATGGTGTCTAATGACATCTAATCATAAATTACGTATAACTTTCTTTATAACACAGTAAATGCAAAAAATAATTAATTAATAATAATAAATAATTAATACATTACATAGACACTAAAAATTCAGAGGCAATAAAGCTACAAGTGAAGCCCAGAAAAGGAGTATGTACATTCTGTTCACAATAAAGTCATATAAACAGTAGTACAGTCAAAAGTCGTTAATCCCGACTCGTCGGGACTTCGGCGATTCTGGATTATAGATCATCAGTTTAAGTCTGGTAAGATGGCATGCAGAAATTATAAAATTTAAAATATGAAACCGTAATTTATGAAATAAAGAGCAATTATGATCTAAAGGGTATCAAAATTTACAAAAAGAAAAAGCTTAATGTTTATTTGTTTACTTTATTAAACATTTCTTTCAATGTAAGTTGTTTAAGTTGCTTCGTTTCATGTGATAATACTTTCTCTTTAATTCTATTAAACAGACATAATTTCTTGTTTAGTTACAAAGTTCCGCTGTTGAAGTCCTATAATTGCTGTGTCGAGAATACCGACTAATTTGTCAATCGAAATTTTTCCGTTTTCAATAACCTGTGTTACTTTCTTCACTATCGGAAGCGAAATATAATGACGAGGAACTTGTTTTAAATCATATCAAAGACAGAGTACATCGAGATGAAATACTACATTTAGTAAGGAATTATAAGCCAAATAAAATAAAAACATCTGCCCTGAAGATAAGGGTAGTGCTGTAGTGCTGACAGAAAACTTCCAATTCATTGCGTGCCGCGGCCTCCCCCCCATCCCGCCGAGCAGTGTGAAATTGATAAACAGATTTCGGATTTCGAAACATACTTTCCCTTTAGATCTTTTACATATTAGCAAATATATATCAGAAATTCTATTTGATATAATCGAAAGTTCAAGCTTACTTTTATAAAATTTCTCTAACAGTCTGCAAAAAATAATAAGCCAGATCCAATTTGAAGTTTAAGGAACAACGCAATCTGCAATATTAACTGAATTAGATAATTAATTTTAGCTTAGCTTAACTGAATTAGATAATTTTAGTTTAGCTTATACCGTCCGTTATACATTAAACGCGCATGCATAAACGTTTTATGCGCACGCCCACACGCATATTCGCAGCCGTAAAGGTCTTACGTGCACACGTAAACACGACGCATGCGCAGAAAATTTGTAGCTTTGAGGTCCGGATTATAGATCATTCCGAAATATGGGTGTCCGAATTAAGGAGTTTTGACTGTAATATGTGAAAGATTGCATTAAACTTTTACTACAGAATATACATACATTACTGAAAGTGAGATCATTTTCATTAAATGTACAAGCAGACATAAAAGAAAAGGAAACACACTTTTTCTTGTCATGTGTAGAAAACATACATGTTCTCCTTCAAAAACAAATTTGCTACACACTTTAACACACTAACACTACCATATATCATATAATGTGTCAATTTTTAATACATAAGGCTGCTCTTTGAATAAATTAAGCGTTTCTTGTCCAACCTCACAAAATAACAATGCTGATGCATTCTAATACACAGACTTATTCATGTTTCGGTGTGAAATTAGTTTCATAAAACAATACCAAACTCAGTATTTTAATCGCAAAATCATCAACCATAGATTTGTATTTTTATAATTAACACCTTTTTATTAAATATATTCGCATTCTTGATTAAATAAGTAAAATCAATTGGTATATTAAAGAACTGAGCAACTTTTCGAAAATTTGTATGTCCATGAAGTCATTATTCGCTTCGTGCTGTTAGAAATGAGTTTATATCAGTCACAAAATTT